ATAGGTGATATAGTGCCGTCACCGGCACTGTTGGATTGGGAGGGCGGCCAGTGAATTTTTTTTTCACTGTCAAGCAAGCTTGTTTCGTTATAGGATTCGATGTAATTTATAAAATTATTACGATTTATGGAATCGAAAAATACTGCATTTTTCGACGCTTCGGTATTTTGGGACAGTTCCCATATCGGCAATGGGAATGTGACTCGACCCTAAGACCCTCCGTATTACAGTGGCTCTGCGCCTTGCTGCCCCAGTTCACACAGAATATATGTGTATTTGCAGCGAAGCGCAAGCAGACCAATACGGTCTACATGGTCTTAACTGTTCCAAAACTAAGGGTTGGCATGCAAGACACTATGAGGTCAACGACATCATAAAGAGAACCCTTGCTACAGCTGGATGCCCAGCCGAGAGGGAGCCCCGATCACTAGCAGCCAGCAATACCCACAACTCAGCAAAGCGCCCCGACGGGATCACCATCTATCCATGGAAGAATGGCAAGCTCTTAGCATGGGACTATACCTGTGTGTCCACACTGGCTGACACCTATATCCATCACAGTGTTGGGCGACAGGGAGGAGGTGCTGACCACAGGGAGGAGTACAAGATCAGCAAGTACAGGGACATAAGCCAACAGTATCAGTTTGTCCCAGTGGGATCAGAGACCTTGGGATCATGGGGAAAAAATGCCACACGTTTCCTTAAAGAATTGGGTTCCAGGCTCATCGGCACCACCAGGGACCCAAGGGCAGCCACTTTCATGTTCCAGCGCCTCAACATGGCCATCCAGAGGGGAAATGCTTGCTGCATACTTGGCTCGCGTCCGACTTCGGAGGAGCTGGAGGAAATTCATGATCTTTAATACATTGTACCATTGTATTCATGTTTGTGTTTTTCTGCAAATGTATTCCATTTATTAATAAATGTTCACATAGAATATAAAATATAGGGGGTGGTAGGATAAGAAAATATTCAAACAGCTCCGGGGAGAATCTTGATTTTTCCCTGAGGTACGTTTATTGTCTTCTCTGAGGATGAGGGTCCCCAGTCCAGCTATAGAGGTGGTACTTCCCTACATAATATATATATATATATATATATATATATATATAATATATATATATATATATATATATATATATATATATATATATACCATTATCACAAATTTTTACAGTGATCTAGAGGGTACATGTTATAATGAGTTCGCGTATTATGTAGCATATTATTTATGTAGATTTAACCTAGTTAACCTAGTTAAAAAAATTTGTAAATTAAGGTGATCTCTTATTAAAGTCTATAATTATGAATGAATTAGGGTGATAGATCAGTATTCTTACACATGCGCATCATCTGGGTGTCTTTATTTATAGACGTTTCGACAACAGTACTCTTCATTAACTCCAAGACAGAGGGACTAATTACCTCATTTTTTGTATATAATTCTACCTTCTTCACATTATGACCTTGTATTGGTAAAGCCACTAGTTGGCGAAACGTCTATAAAGATACCCAGATGTTGCACATGTATCTAATTCTTCATCTTGTCGGTATTGTAATCATTTATGTACAACGATCAGTATTTAACATAGGATAATGCGTCACCCATCTTGTTACATCAATATGACTCAAGAAATCGTAATGACACGATCGCGGGTTCAAACCCCACCCGTGTTATGGTTTGTTTACATCAAAATGTCTATGGCGTCCCCATGCATTCCTTGTCCAGAACTGGCTGGTTCAATTTATATAATTATATTCCATGTGAGAAATATTTTCAATTGTTGAAATACATGTTAGCATTCGGGTCAGTATATATCACTAAGGTTGTGTTAATTGGTAGTAATGTGATTTGTTTTTTACTGTATGCTTTAAGGAACTTCGACGTAGTCGATCTGGACTGCTGGTGAAATTTTAATTAAGTAATATGAGGTAAGTAAATCATTTGATGCAATAATAACATCAACGTTGTTCAGGTGAGCTGAGAATTGTAATTCGAAGATCCTGTTTTTTACACTAGAGATAACATTATACGGGGACAATATACTAACATATATATCTCTACAAAACTATTCATACACAACAATTAGCATTACCTAAATTTATAGGTTTACAAATTTGTTTCTAGATTCACCCCAGTATAGGCGATGCTCTGCCTAGAAAATCTCTTCCTCACTATATCAGTCCCTAGTAAGATCTTACATTAGTGGGAAATAAAGGATTCTTTTCTGGGAGGAGTTAAATTGTTGACGCTTGTTTTAATCTCTAAGATGGAGTCTTATATTTCCACGTGCAGTTTGATGCTGTTGCCTTAGTTTCGAGATCTCAACTTTAAGATGCCATTCATCTGCTCGCAGTGATTTTCCACTATGAACTTTAAAGCTTAAACAATGAAGAAAGCAGGCAGAGCGTTCAGTTCCCGTTAGAGAGCCGAAATTAACACCTGATTTAAAACATTGTTGCTATTATGAAGTATTATATTAGACCGGTGCTTGGCCTTCTCTATTATTAATGCCATGTGTCTCAAACATTACCTAGGCAAGATAAGTTTATGCCTTTGTATTGTAACCTGAGCAGTCTAGTGATAGAGAGCGGATTCACCCGATAGATGTTTATATCTATTAACTATCTGATTTCGTTCATTCATTTTCACTTCTCTCTTACCCACTGATGGATACTGACGATACACCCCTCCTTTTTACCATAACTAATCATTTACTGTTACCACTAGTATTTCTATAAGTCTAGTTCGCAAGTAGAAGTATATGGGAATGTTACCTTACAACCTCGTGTACGAATGGTATATAATACCGACAAGATGAGTTTAAGACACATGTGCAACATCTGGGTATCTTTATTGTAGACGTTTCGCCATCCAGTGGCTTTATCAATACAAATTCTAGGACATAACTTGAAGACAGTAGAACTATGTACAGAAGATGAGGTAATCAGTCCCTCAACCATAGTCGTGGAGATTCTCCACGACTATGGTGCTCTTCGCACCTACTCCTAGGTTGAGGGACTGATTACCTCATCTTCTGTACATAGTTCTACTGTCTTCAAGTTATGTCCTAGAATTTGTATTGATAAAGCCACTGGATGGCGAAACGTCTACAATAAAGATACCCAGATGTTGCACATGTGTCTTAATCTCACCTTACAACCTCGTTGTCCCTGCCCACCTGGCAATAAAGAGAAGTAGCTGTGTTCGTATTAGAAAGCTCAAGTCTTTCTGAAGTAAGAAACCCCAGTACCTGTTGAAAATATTCAAGATTAGAGTGGAAAGTATTTGTGTACCTTATGATGCTAAATAAAGAAAAAAAAATAGTTCTCTCACATATACCCTATTTATCACTACTTATTCTTCACCATTACAATCGGCCCATACCTTTTAGTTTTGTTTTGCTTAGTTCTGGGACATCCAACTTCTTTTCATTCATAATATGTATTAACAATAATTTTTTTCTTACCTGTACTACATCCGAACATTCAAACAGTGCACCTTTCAAAGTTCCTTTGTTTTCAATGATTTGTACAGGCGTTGCTAGCCGCTTGTTCTTGGTACTAGTGTTTTACCACACCAAACTTGAAAGAAAGTACAGGTTAATGTGTATTCACACACACATGTACATATACATTCATATGCATACTGAATGTAAGCAGCCCTTTCATGACTTACACGGTATTTTACGTGTTAATGAGAGAGTGAATAATCCATGATAATCCAAGGAAGCTAATCAGGGTGGCTTATTTCCGCTGGGATCTTTTGGTTCTCTTCTCCAGGATGCGACCCACAACAGTCGGCTAACACTCAGGTACCTACCTGCTGCTAGGTGGCCCGGTGGCCTGGTGGCTAAAGCTCCCGCTTCTCACACGGAGGGCCCAGGTTCGATTCCCGGCGGGGTAGGAAACATTTCGACACGTTTCCTTACACCTGTTGTCCTGTTCACCTAGCAGCAAATAGGTACCTGGGTGTTAGTCGACTGGTGTGGGTCGCATCTTGGGGGACAAGATTAAGGACCCCAATGGAAATAAGTTAGACAGTCCTCGATGACGCACTGACTTTCTTGGGTTATCCTGGGTGGCTAACCCTCCGGGGTTAAAAATCCGAACGAAATCTTATCTTATCTTAACAGAGGCAACAGGTGTGAGGAAAGATGCCCAGCGGCTCCACCCGCTTAAGAACTGAACGTAGGGTTTCTTGTGACCCCGAAGTCGCTGCTACTGATACGCATTATGTAAATAATATGTTTAAATAATTTAGGGTTACCCTAGGGTCTAGGTAATATACACATATGTCACTATTTATGATAGTTTGTGTAACCGTATTTATGTGTACCTGTGCCTAAATAACCGTACTAGAAACTGTTTTATAAGTAAGAATATTGATCACGCAGGAACATCCTTGAGATCGAAGCTATGAGGCTGTGTATGTCTGGAAAGTGTAATGCAATGTAGATATTGATTTTAGTGGGGAGGGGGGAAATTTAGGGATGTGTGTGTGTGTGTGTGTGTGTTAAAATATTTATCTTTCATTGTTTATTTCGTGGAGTAGCTGATCGCTAGTAGATCGCTTTTAAATAAGTAGCCTTTTTTGTATCATATATTGTTCCGTAACTACTGTGATCACCTTAAGCTTCTACGTTGCTGGAATTCATACATACATATCTACGTAATGCAAGTTTTTAATATTTTATTGGCGATATATTAACGTTTTTTGAAAAGTGCGAGAGTGTGTGGGATGAGTGTGTCTGGCCGCTCATTGGTCTCTCTGGTCACATGACCACAGTACTGTAAGTTGCCACTACCCCCTTACTTTCTCACCTTTATACACATATCTTGCATTATTTACGCTATCCAGTATTAATTTTAGCTCCTCTTGCCAATTACGGAACACATATGTATACATGCAGCATATTTTTGTGTGAATACAATCAGGAAAATGGGAGATAAAATAAGATATATATGTATTGTGTGTGGCGTGTGAGGGGGAGGAGCAGTGTCGGCCATCCAGGCGAGTGTACGTTAACACTGTGGTCGTGGACGGTGCTGTGGCAACACCAGTGTCTACACTCTCCTCAACACTCCATTAACACCTCTGCAACGCGGTGTATATAAATCTAGTTATCTAGATTGTGTGCGTGACGACCCAGTGGTAGTAGCTGGTTATCACCTGCAAGGTGAGTGATAGTGTAACTTGGAGAGGCTGGTGTTACGGTGTTGGGCGCTTCTAACTTGTGCTTCGCTGGAGATTTGAATGGTTCATCAGCTGTAGTAGCTGCTGGGAGCAGTAGATCAGGACTAGTGATCACACTGTTTCTAGCCGAGTGTTTATTCACATGTTAAATAAGTGAAAGAGAGGTAATAATGACTTGCTGCCTCTCTATTCCTCTCTGTTTTGAGTTTTTCCCCGGTGAATTAAATGTAGGCTTCTGCAGATTGCAATGCTATTTTGCACGAGTTTTGTTATTGATCGGGAGTGGTTAGTCATCTTACTGTGTTAGTTTGGAAGTTACAGCCTACTGTACATGATGCTGAAGCTAGTCATCTGAGTACAAGCTGACTAATTATATTATACGCAGTTTATGATTATAATTACTATTACTTAGTACTTTTGCCCTTGTGGGTTAAGCTCTTAGTTTTGATTTTTGTAGTAGTTTTACTGCTGTAACAATAAGTGTAAGCATGGAAGGGTGGTTGTACTGTGCTTCATTAGCTGCTTATATATGCTTGAAAATTGTCGGGGGAAAAGTGGAATATTCTTGTTGATTTTGTTTGTACTTTATATTAAACTCGTGGCTAATTGTCTTCAACGGTGCAAGTGAAGATTCGCGATTTTTTCTATTTATCTCTTCAAAAATAGTGTAATTACCTTTGTGGTTTCAGCAGCTGAATTGTAGCAAAAATTTCGCCTGTTCATTGAGGTTATGGTATATAGACTTCGCGGCTGTTTCATACCATGACCCTGCTGACCATTGGTTAATAATATGCCAGCGGCAAGGCGCGACCAGAAAATGTGACTCGACCCATGCAACCTCATTAGGAGAATACCAGAATAGATCTTTAGTCACAGCCCAGCCATTTAAATTTTCCCCTAAGAAGCTAGAGTAAACTTCTATTATCCCGGAATGGTTGCTTTGTTGCTGAAGGTCTTATTATCCAAGGAATTGCAGCAACCCTTCCCCTTTAATCCAAAGGTGACCTCCTCATCCCCCAACCTCGGTATGACATCTACCTGTTGAGCGCTCCCCCATGAATGTAAAACTTAAAGCCACATCTACACGAGACAGGTTGCCCTTAGGTGTTTAAACATGGCGCGTCTAGTGGGTGTTGCTGTTATAATTTTGAACAATGCTCCATTTGCATTGTGATTGGTGCTATCACTGGATTTGTAATTCTCGTTATCTCCCAGATTGATAGTGGAATTCTATGGGAGGTTTTAAGTCATTGCAGAGGTTAATTTATCACTGGATGATTTCCAGCGGTCGAATGGGAAATACTTTTCTATGTTTTTTGCTCTGGTGTGACAGGTGTTGGAGCTGGTAGTACAGAGGGGTGAGGGGAGGGGTGCAAGGTGCGTTCTTTTTTTACACGCTTGGATATTATTATAGTTGATACAACTCTACCTTTGCCTTTGATAACCCTTTGAAGAGTTTCGAGAGGTTTCCTACTCCCAGAGCCCGGCTCTGGGCTAGGCATAAGTTATCTGGTGCTCGTCTGCCTAACCAGGCTGTTTCTCCTGGTCGCCCACTACCTGGAGTTTACCTGGAGAGAGTTCCGGGGGTCAACGCCCCCTCGGCCCGGTCTGTCACCAGGCCTCCTGGTGGATCAGAGCCTGATCAACCAGGCTGTTACTGCTGGCTGCACGCAAACCAACGTACGAGCCACAGCCCGGCTGATCAAAAACCGACTTTAGGTGCTTGTCCAGTGCCAGCTTGAAGACTGCCAGGGGTCTGTTGGTAATCCCCCTTATGTATGCTGGGAGGCAGTTGAACAGTCTCGGGCCCCTGACACTTATTATATGGTCTCTTAACGTGCTAGTGACACCCCTGCTTTTCATTGGGGGGATGTTGCATCGTCTGCCAAGTCTTTTGCTTTCGCAGTGAGTGATTTTCGTGTGCAAGTTCGGTACTAGTCCCTCTAGGATTTTCCAGGTGTAGCTCACATATCCATCATAGCCTAATTGATATGACACTGTCAGGTGTATTGTCCAGTTTCCTCTTAAGACTTTTACACTTGTCCCAGCGGTATTAGATATCTTCTGGTAAGATGTGGTAAAGTCTGGGAACACGGATGTTGATACAATGTTTTGTTGTGCACATAACGCCACTGCTTTATCACTGGATTCATTTTACATTTTCTCCCATATCTCACTCCAGTATGTTATGGCATTGTGAAGTTTTGGGACCAGACCCTCTAGTTACGAGTACGTATGTACAATCAGGCAACGCTCCTCCGCTCCAGCGAGTACATAATTGTCTGAGGCATTCCTAGTAATTT